TTGTATTATCAAACAACCAACCTGCAAAATACATCTGGCGCCATCTGTTATTTCGAAATTGCACTATCAATAGCCAAACAGCAACCCATAAGGCGGGTTGTTGTGTTGAAGTAAGAATTCCGGAGCTCGCGTATTATTGGTGATTTGATTGATGAAGATTAAGCCACCCAAAAGGTGGCACGGGCACGAATAGCCCATAAGTGGTGGCCCTTTTGAGCCATTACCAGTATCAAGAGCTGATACTGGAGATCTGTGGAGGCGCGACTGCACCCTGCGTGACGGGAGATGTGTCCCGTGTTATTATTGGTAGAAACTCTTTGTTTATATTCCCTGCAACAGCCAATCACAGGAAAGGAGCAGCTAAAGGCTCCACTCACATAATAAATCATGTTTATTCAGCACTCCAACCCTGCTTATGACATTTTGCTTCAACTTTAATCTACCTAAATATTGAAGTGTTAATTTTCTAAAAATTTGAATAAAGTGATAATTAAATATTGCAGGATATAACAGGTGTTATAGAAAAATGGCTTGGCTACCTACCTAAATTGTGACGTAATTAGTGTGGGGGGTTGCCTGGAAACAAATAATAACATCGATAATAAGATATTATAGGACTATTAGTCTCTTATAGGACTAAATTATTCAGTCCCTCTTATTGAACCAAATTATTCAGTTAGACGGAAATTTATGTCAGGTACAAAACAAAGCGGTTGTTATGCAAAAGGACGTATTTCTTAATTTGTATTTCATTCGTGGAAATGTTGACATTCCCAGCAACAGCCAATCACAGGAAGGTATTTGCTAAACTCCGCCTCCTTATTATTGACGTCATCTGGAGCGTTCAGCACACTGATATAGCTTATGGCTTTCTATTTCATCTCTTGTATACGAATTTTCCGATTACTATGATAATTAAAAGTTGTTACACAAATTGGCTAAATTCTGCCATTAAATGGACTCTCTCTTGTCTGGTATACACACAAAATTACATCAATTTATTACCATCCATACATTATTAATTACAAATGTTTATTTATTTATTTATATACAAGAAGGTACAATAGTGATGACCAAACCACAACTCAGAAGATGGAGAAGCGACGACGTTTCGGCATTATCAAGACACGACTTGATAATGGTTTGGTCATCCCCTAAGTACTAATAAAGGCGGGAGTGGATAGTACATGATACAGTCTGAGTTTGAAGTACAAGGAAGGAAACTACGAGGATGAACTAAGGTACTTTCTGGTTTTACTTTTGAATAAGAAAAAGTTTGGACACTTGTAATTCATTAGGGAGTGAGTTCCACAGACTAGGCATTTTATTTGCACGGAGTGTTTGCACAGATTTAGTTTAACTCTTGGGGATATCAAAGATATATATTTCTCTAGCAATTATTGAGAAAAATTTAGTAACACTAGCCACCAGCCTCAGACAGACAGACAGATATTTCCATTTATAGATTTAAATATAGATGAAGAAAGAGGGGGCAGTGAATTATACCACAAAAAAGTATGTTTTAACATTTTATTCTTTTTCTGTTTAATTATCATAAAAATATATATAAAGGATTACTTTATATATAAATCTTAATGATAGAGTGAGCTAAGAACTACTAGCTAAAGACCAAAACGCTTTGCGTGTTAGTGGCTTTGCAAAATTGAAAAATTACCAATATTATATAATCTCACAAACCCAATGAACCTTCCTGTAAACCGATTATTATTATTATATTGTATTGTATTATATATTGTACCCCTACTCAAATATCTGAATATGTTAGATATTAATTAATTAAAACACTTTCCTCCTATTCGGACACAAAAACGGGACAACTATTTTTCTCTTGAATGTGAGCGCGCGACATTTTTTTTATGTCTAACGAACAAATAGTTGAACAAATCCACAAGGGCCGTGACGAGGATCCTCGTGATCCTCGTCACGGCCCTTGTGGATTTGTTCTTGTGATGCATCACGATAGTGTGATCTCTGTGTGTAACAAATAGTTCTATAATATTCAGTTCTTATCCGATCGAGTTGGGGATATTATGAAAATGTTTGCCATGAAATTTACGTTTTCTGTAATAGCCACATAGCCTATTTGAGAGAACGGAATTGTCTTGTATCTTCGTGGTAAAACTATTGTATTGTTGACACGGCAAGTGTAATCGACGAAGTTTCTTTATTTGGTGCCGGTCTAATGCATCCTTGTGTGACATTTTATACATATGTTCTTCTAGAACATTCTATTGCGAACACATTGGTGTAAAAATGAAATACGTACATAGAAAATTAAGGTCATGACAGTGAAAAGAATATACACTTTTCAATACTGGTTTCACCGATGTGCGGTAACAGGTAACACTTCGCCCACTTCCCACACTCTTGCGGGTGGGCCGCGATCATGATTCTACATTTATATGCATATGTCCGTGTAAAGAATTTTATTGCGATCTCAGAGATACCAAATTTAACCAGCATATATACATTTTCTTCTGTCCTCCATGGACAGGGTTAGAGATCAGTTAACCATATAGTTCAGGGGGATAAAACCTACCTTACCCCTATAATGTCAACCCATGTCTGCTATTTATTTAAACAATGCTGTTTGTCGACCAAATTGTATTTTTTTACTGTTATTCTGCCATGTTCCCCCCTTTTTTTATTTTTGTATTTTCTCAACACATTTTATACTTTAATCTCAATTAGTATTAACTTTTAGTCTTTAGTGTTTTTCCTGCCCTAAACGCTCTGACAATCTGGCAAGACGTAAATAAAATAAGGGGTAAAAAGCATACTTTTGTTGCACATCCTGACCCTCAAGGAATTGCAAATGGTCTCGTAAATAAATGGGCGGAAGCTGCCAAATTTAGTTCATTACCCGCTGTAACGAGAGTCATTAGATTCTTGGAAAGATCTAATTAAGGATTTTATACTTACAGCAGGTAACACTGGTGATGTCACTTGCACAGGTATTACCAAAGAAGAGCTAATAACGGCGATTAAAGTTGGGAAATCTACCGCCCCTGGGGAGGATGGAGTAACTTATGAAATACTTAATGAACTTGCCATTATGACGAAAAGCCCACTTTTAGACCTCTTTAATATTAGTTATAAAGAGGGCAGTATTCCCAGTAAATGGAAAAAAAACTATGATCATCCCTATCCCTAAAGCCAATGGAGAGTACAGACCTGTGTCTTTAGTTAATGAAGACAAAACTAAATTTGAATGTAGAAGTCGGAGGCCCATTATATTGAAAATAAACGGTAAAAATATAGAGTTAATATATATAAATATTTAGGCATATATGTTGGATATACCCATGAGAGTTTGGAAGCTGAGATGAACAGACTGTTGGGTCAATGTCGGAAGAGATTACAACCTCTGAAAGCCTTGGCATGCTGTGGAAAGGGAGTGGGAGTCCCTGTGCTACGAATGATATACTTGAGTACTGTAAGATCCCTTGTTGATTATGCTGCACCTGTCATTTATTGTTTTGGTAACGGTAGGATGGGCAAGTTGGAGAAGGTACAAAATAAGGCCGAGAATTATCTTAGGATGCCTAAGAAATGCTATGATTGAGATAATGAGGATCAAATTGAATCTGAGAATATTGGGGATAGAATTTCAGAAATAAATGTATTCTCTGCCATTAGATTAATGAGAGGTGTGGGAGCTAATGACTTAATCCTCTCAGTTCAAAAGGTGGGAAGTAATGAACAATGTATGATAAAGATAGAGAGTGATATGAGTACCTTATGTTTTAATGTTATAAAGAATGATGTTATTCCAGAATGTATTTCTTTGCCTAAGAGACAATTCACACCACCATGGGAGGATTGTAACGTAGATGTAGTAATTATTCCCTTGCAAAAGAGAAAAAGTATGTATGAGATAGGAGAGCTGAGGGCAACATATGATTGTATAATTAGAAAATTACCTACAGAAAACACTCTACATGTATATTGTGATGGGTCAGTAGCTAGGGATGGGAAGGCAGGATGTGGAGTCTTGATCAGGGAGTACACTGACATCGGCACTGTAGATACTGTTATTGGACGCCGCTTAACTGACAATGTCTCTTCAACGCAGGCTGAACTCCAAGGTGTATTAGCAGGATTACAGGAAGTAGTCAAATGTGGTAAAAATGCCTGCTTCTTTATTGACAGTAGAGGAGCGTTAGAGTCTTTAAATAGCAGACGCCCAGTATACCAGAATATTGTGATAGAGTGTAGAGAGAATGTTAAGAAATTAGAAAAAACTGGGTATAAAGTAAGATTCATGTGGTTCCCTTCACATGTGGGAATACTGTTGAATGAGGTAGTTGATGAGATAGCGAAGAGAGCCTCGGAAAAAACTCTTGTTGATGTTGTATGTCAGATAACCTTGAAACAAATAAAAACAAGAATCAAGATGATCCAAGAGGATGAAGAAAAGGTTAAGAGAATGGCAATGGTGGACAGTAGTAACACACTTAAGAATTATGCAATAATAAATACAAATTCGTCCTTCACCTATGGTAGAGGAAAGTCTACTTGGAAGGATTCAATTTACATGAGATTAAGATTAGGATACAAATATATCTGGCAATACGGTGTTGATGTCAGTGAAAAAGATAAGGAGTGTAAATTATGTAGTATGCCGCACGCCCACACCTTAGAACATTATGTATTAGAGTGTCAACTTATTGATAACTATAGAAATAAGGAAATAAGTAGTGTACCACATCAAATTGTTTGGATGTGTGATAATGGTATGATAGACAGTATACTTAGGAGCTACAAGAATTTTGCCCCAAGAGTGTAACACTTATATGCTGTGCTTACTATATTAACCTGCAATGTTAAATGGGATTCTTGTATTGTGATTTGTGTATTTGTACTCACTGAATTTGTGCGCCCCTTGAGGGACTTGAAGTAGAGGGGGGTAGAAATAGCCTAAGCTACTCTATCCCTTTGAGATGTATTTTTTCTTGTCTCAATAAACATACTTGAACTTGAATTCGCAGTTTAAAGCATAAGTTAAATCATCTAATAGATTTCGTTGAAAAATGGGATATTGATATAATCGCCCTCCAGGAGCCTTTTTCAGGGCAAACCAAAGTTAAAACGGCTCCTGAAATTGAAGGATATCACTCCTATACAAGTAAAAAAAGCATAGGACTTCTCACATACATTAAAAAGGATTTGCAACACAGTTTGCAGCGTAAGATTGAAAACGAGAATTTACGGTATCATCACTTTCACATACAAACGAAAACAGGATGCCTATCATTTCTTAATGTATACGTTCATTGCAACAAATTCAAGGCGAGCAAATTCCCTACCCTAGACGACGGAGGTATAATATGCATGGGAGATTTTAATTCTAAACATACTTACTTTAAAGATAAACTTAACAATGTTAATGGGAAGCGATTTAAAAAATATGTTATAAATAATGAATTAACTGTACATGATACAAAAGTTTTTGGAAATGAATATGTGGGGGATGGAGGCGATATTGACCAGGGCAGTGTTGACCAAGGTCACAAAGGTGTCGACTCGGATGAAGATGAAGACGTCGTCTCTGATAATAGTTCCGATAAAGAAGACAACTTGGTCACTTCTAATAATACAGGTAGTTCCAACGAAGATGATGATTCGGAGGTCAGGTCTGATAGTTCTAACGAAGATGATGATTCGGAGGTCAGCTCTGATGGTAGTTCCAACGAAGATGATGATTCGGGGGTCAGCTCTGATAATAAAAAAACCAATACAGGTATACAGATTTCAACCCATGAAGATGGAGGGAGACTTGATTATGTAATAAGTAAGAATTTAGGAGGCGCCAGTATAGAGTGCTATCTTGTAAACAGGTTAGCAAGTGATCACAATGCAATTTATACTTTGTATGAGATAAGGCCTTAAAGGGTTATATATCCAGCAGATGTCAATGACAACAAATTTGAATACTACAGCCCAACCAAATCATTCCAACCCTCCCCTAAAAAAAAAAAAACTTTCTGATCAATGGGTTTTGACTGAACTTCCACTCTCTCAATGAACATACAGAATACCTTTGGTGACATGCAATTTGATAGGCAATGTACCATCAATATTACATGCACTGCTACTGCCATGTCAAACTATCATAAAATGACAATGGGAGCTAAATCATTCCTTCAAGAAGGGGCAAAACAGCTGCCCATGGTGAGAACAGTATTACAACTTATCAAGATGTCTCTTAAGTGCAGTATATTCACAGTCAAATGGACACAATAATATATCCTTTTTATATCAATGGAGTTTTACAAGTGCAAATGATAAAATTTGCTTTTGAACACACCTTGTTAGTACAGTACTAAATTTACTTGAGAAAAATGTATTTTTTAAATATTGATTTTTTTTGGGGGGGGCATCAAATTCCACTCTACTGAATAAATTGGCTTGTCACTCACTTGTTCATCTCTACTCTTACCTGCCCTACACTCTACACCTGTCCACCCCCTGGCCTGATCACGCATCACAAAGAATTAGAACCCTGAAAACTACAAAACAGAACCATGAGGGGTCATTACAGGTAGAAGAACTCCAAAACCCTCTCTCCAGGTATACAGGGAAATAAGAGAGGAACCACATTCCCTCCAAAGCTGTAATTGCCAAAACTTTGTTGAATTTTAAAATATACTATAGTTGGAAAAGATCATTAATGCAAATGGGGGGTGACCATTGACAAGCCACTGGCTTCATGTCCTCATCAAAGCCACTAGAGTTAGTCGCCCTTGGGTAAATCAGGTAAAATCAGCACCACCAAAATGGACAAGAACTGAAAATCTATACCTTGAAACAAGCCATGTACCATCTAAAACTAGAATCTAAGCTAGCATCTCTAGCAGTCTAGTTCTTCAAAACCGATATTGGATAAAGCTTCTAGAAAAGGCTCACAGGAGTTGTAAAAAAATCCAAACCTACCGTAATTCAGTTTTGTTCATTTATTATGCACCCCCATACCCATCCTGTGGGCGATAGTGGAAAGGGTTACAGAGGCACATAATGAGCTCAGGGGCTGAACCCCAATTTAGCTAAGCAAAGTTACAATCTTGATGAGCTAGTTACAAAATTCCATGCACATCATCACATCAACAGTGGGCTTGAGACCGACTTCAGGTAGTTTCTAAATTAAGCAATTGATGTGGAGACCTGGTATCGCAATTGATATATATGTTTATCCTGCACACCGTCCTACTTCCAGTGGACAGGGGTGGATAGGTTACAATCACTCAATTATTACCTACAGTTAGCAAACTGGGGATATTTGGCTAAGATTTCTAAGATTAAGTAGCAGATCATTTTGAATGAAATATTTACACATCTCTGGAACATTTGTTATAGAATTGTCTTTGAATTGAAGTATCTCTTTGCACTCCAACACATAATGACATAGGGTGTGCGAATAATTTTGTTGACAGTTTACATTTGGTGAGGTCTACATCAGCAGAAAATGAGAATTCCCAGAGATATTTGTAACCAAGTCTAAGCCGAGCAGTAGTAACATCTAGAAGTCTGCTGATTTTATTGGATGATCCATATATGTGTGGCTCCTCTTGCATGATAGTATGATGATAGATTGAATTACTGGTGTCGATTTCACTTTGCCCCAGATCTACAAGATTTTGTTGAAGTTCTTGGTGTACTATTGTTCTCAGACTTCCTATTGACAAACCAAGGTTATACTCAATTTCTCCTTTAAAGGCAGATTCTTTGGCTAACTCATCAGCTCTTATCATGCATTCAGAGACCAACATAAAATGGAATTTGTTACTATCATTAATAATTTTGTTGTATTTGTGTCTAGCTTCAGACACGAGCATGTTATAGTTATGTCTTAAGGAGTTGAGAGCAATTAAGGATGATAAAAAGTCACTTACAATTAATGTACCATACTTCAAAATAATAGAATTGTGAACTACTACACTAATCAAGAACTTAAAACACCACTAGATGGACAACACCCTTCAAATAGAAGGTCCTGATTTACCCGCACCAGGCTACAAACTATCATCACCATGGGCAACTTCTGCCACAAACCTGAGATTTAACCTGCCAAGATCAAGGAATCAATTTTATTACCCATGCCTCGAAGCCCTAGCCTCAGTGACCCACAACATACCCAAGTACCACCTCAACGTCGAGCTTAGCCTCAGTCTGGGCTCGGAGAGTAGAACAACTCCGGAAACCCTATCCAGGTATGCTCATGGTAACAACTGCATGCTACACTAGTGGCCCTGTAGCTTAACAGTTCACCAGTAGATCAGTAGCTTCCTACTCACCTGCATGTTACATTAGTTAAAGCATGACAGACTTTGCTTCTACAATAGATGGAAATGTTTGCTATCAAACTGTCCCTTGAACATGCAAATAAAAATCATCATACTGATGTAATACAGTATAAACATTGACTCGAAAACAGCTATTGAAGTTTTAGGGCATCTTAAACCTACAGACATTTTAAATGTAATCACTTCAGTCCTCCTCTAAAACCTTCATCTACAAGGAACACACATTATATTTATATGTGGCCCCTTAGTCATGTAGGGATCTATGAAAATTAAATTATGGACAAATGAGCCTGAGAGGAAACAGGTAAGGATAATGTAGACCAACAACAAATTGACAAATATGCAGAAGAGGCATGACAACATGCCAGTAACCAAGCAAACCAACAAGAATTGGAAGATGGGGGGGGAGGGATATATCAGAGGAAAGTGCAAAGCCATTACGACTATGGGGTGAGGGAGTTTTTAAGTTTCCCTTCTTGTCAACAAGCCACAGAATGGCGTTATCACCTTGTCTGAATTCCTTCCTGAGAAATCTACTCTCGCAGCTTCTGCGTATAACTACCCCTCCTCATGTGGATCTAAGGGTTGGCTAGATGCCCATTTGCAAAGCAAATTAGTCAGGGTTATCAAATGTCAAGCCAAGTTAATTGATGACCTTCAACTTCAAGCCCAATCATGAAGTTACATAACTAAGAACTGATACCCACAATCAAACACCTAAAACTTAAACAAGATATTTCACAGAAGTGCTACAAAGCCAGCAACAAACAGCAGGAAATAATCATGAATATTGAAAACTAGCTAATCTCCATCCATATTCACCAGACAATCTTAAAAATGAGCTGGAGCAGCAAAAATTACGAGACTCGGCGGTGATGTCTGTGCCTGTATTTCCTCAAGAAGCTGAAGGTGAAAACTGTATAGAAATTGTGATGGGTAAACTTCAGTTAATGTTATATTGTCCATTATTCTTGTTGTTCATCACTTATATTGTCAATGAATTAGGTTTAATAATAATTCTTCTTAATTTGTTTATATTCCTACAAAATGTATTTAGTTAGTGCTGTACTGTATTTAACATCATCCCTATTTGTTATCACCTTTATCCTTGCCTCCAAGCCCATTTCTCTGTTACCTTAATGCAGTAGTATTTTACTGTATTTTTTAATTTAATATTTTACTGTAATTACTTTTTAGATTTAGTATTTTAATGTAATTCTTTTTAAATTTAGTATTTTTTGTCCAATTATCATTTAAACTTTGCCTCTCTGTAAAGCATTCCTTTGATAGTAAGTTTGCTTTCTCACTTCAATCACCATTCTGAATGCAACCTAGCATAGACCGAGAATTAAACCTCTTATTGAGTATCTATGATAATTATCACTTTAATTCACTAAACTGCATGTATTATACAGAAAACTATTTTAAACCCTGTAATAAAAGATCACCATAAAGTATTACTAATTAACTTGTATGTAAGATCTTTAAGCAAACGCCTCGATGATGGCAGTGCCGTAATCCAAGTACTGAACAACAAATTCTTCTTTACGTACTAACTGAAACATGGTTAAAAGAGGACACATCTTACATCTTTAACATCCCTAACTACTCAGCACTCTACAACTGTAGTCCAAACCAGAGGGGTAGTGATACTGCTATTTACTACCAATAAGAGCTATCATACTCATATGTTATTAAAACCAGAGATACCTATAAGGTAATGTAATTGTCAGGAGGATGCACTAAGCCGTTATGGCTATATAGTACTGTACTTAGAAGGGATGAGGATAAGGATTTAGAATAGGATGTAGGAAATGAATAGTGCCCAACCACTTGGACAGTTAGGGATTGAACGCCAACCTGCAAGAAGCGAGGTTGTCATTCTTATCATCCAGTCCAAGAGGTTGGGTAATTACTCACTTCTGGCGAGTAATCTTTGCCCAGTTCAGAGGCAAGGCAAACTTAACAGTAGCAGCCATATTTAGAAATCCTAATACAGTTGTAACTGAATTTAATTTTAACCTCAAAAATTTAAGCAACGCAACAAACTAAACATAAACTACTGTAATGCTATCGGGTGATTTTAATATTGACCTCTGCCAGCCTGATAACCCTCAAGGTTATGCCTTGATTTTTATTTAGAGACTGCACATTTCAAAACATGCTGTTTCAAAATATTTTAATATTTGCCAATAATTTTTTAAATCTCTTCCACAATTCAAAAAGGTTATCTTTTAAAAAAAAACTATGTATTACCCTATTAAGCTTGTATATTATTCTCCCTATTTTTTTTTAACATGTCTGAAATGCTCTCTGTACTTTTTCTGTTTACAGTAATAATAATAATAATATTATATTATTCAGAGAAATCACACTACAGTAATTGGATATGCAGTACAGTGGTACCTCCGTTTAGATATATAATCCATTCCCAGAGACGGTTCGCATACCTAAAATTTGTAAACCGAAACAAATTTTCCAATAAGAAATAATGTAAATTTAATTAATCTGTTCCACACTCCCAAAAATAAACTTCTAAATACATTTCATACATATTACAGTACAACAAATATTTTGTACTACAGTACTGTATATACAAGTTATATCTTACCTTTATTGATAACTTGTTGGCGTAAGGAAGACTGTGAGGAAGGGGGGAGGAGGAGGAGAGGTGTTAGTGTTTGAACGGGAGTCCCCCTTCCATTATAACATCAGGCAGTGATGACTTCTCTCCGTTTTGCAGGCATACTACTAGGACCTGGTTGTGAGTCTCTGCCTGCTTGTCATACTAAGAATCTGTCTATAGACGCTTGTTTTTCCCTACGTTTTACCACTTGTCTGTATATACATTGTATATATACTGTATATACATATAACACATTGTCATTAATATGATTAAAGCAATGGCCTGTTACAGCTTTATCTGGGTGACACTGTTCAGCAAAACTTGGCAGTTCTTCCCATGCTGCACACATTTTCTTAATTAGGAAGGGACATCCTCTACTGTCTCCTCCTCCCCTGAAGAAATTTCCTCAGCTCTCACTTGTTGCTGCTCCTTGTGAAGGGCTAGGAGTTCGTCGGTGGTCAGTTCTTCGCTGTGTTCCTCCACCAATTACACATCAGCAACATCCAGCCTAGCTTATACAACAGCCCTCGTTCCCTTTTCATGTTTACAAATGATCTCTTGTTTTTCCTCTATCGTCATCCTCGCATTTGTTTTCTTAGGTTGAACCTTACCATTGACTTTCTTGGGACCCATGGCGTGATATATAATACGTAATTACTTTTATGTGCAGAAACCAAAAAATGCACAAAAACAATGAAATTCTTTACAAAGAATTCAAGTGTGATCGTCACTAAGTAGGAGACTCTGGTAAATTGAAGTGTGCCTCGCCCGTGCCACCAGGAACAATGTGCTCAGTCGACCTATACGTGTACTGTATCAACAAACTTGCCAAGCGAGGCAAAGCTCGTATACCGAGTCAAATTTTTTAAGAAATTGAGCTCAAACTGAAATTCGTAAAGTGGGGCATTCGTAAACAGAGGTTCCACTGTACAGGTATATCAATTATTATTATTATTATTATTATTTCAATGTCAACCCTTGCTCCCACGTTACTGTATAAGCTCGCTTATCCAAAGCCCGCTCGCTTTAACAAATCTTTGGGTTATCCGGCAGTTTTTCAGTAAGGCTGGCGAAAATTTAGAAAGACAGGATGTGGTTGAATTATTTATTATTAATATCTTTATTGACAAAATTTAATTACAATTTTGCCTAATCTAAGGATTTCAATTGAGTCTTATTAAAGTGAGGATAATGCTGGTATTCACTGTCACACAGGACAGAGGATCATGCACAAGACAATAGGTCTTAACTGTAGGCTGAAGCACATATAATATCATGGTTACAATCAATGTTTTAATGTATGAATATGTAAAATCAACTCTGTTGTGCACTGCCACTCAAGGGCAGGGATGGGTTCATAAGAGATACAACTTAAATAAAATAAAATTGTTCTTCATTCTTTAAAATGGACAAGTAAATTTTGGATAAATTGTTAGGATGTATTGGATCTCCAGTACACCAGATTCAATGAAATAGTTACACAGTTGGTGATACAATAGGCCAGGATGTCTTAAAATCTTTTTACAGTTTCACATTCAACAATATAGTGTTCTAGTGAATGCATTTAAAGGTTTGTCATAGAGTTTACAGTCTGAATATTCTGGTAGTGGCTCAGCCTCACTAACCTGCCAGATGTGCCTATAGCAAAGACGAATTCGCATAATGACTACATCACATTGCCTGGTCCGGTTACTGTGCTGACCATACAAATACCTATTATTACAAAACTTGTCATATCTTTTAATACTGTAGCTTTCAGGTCTCTGGGCATTTCTTAGTTCCTCTAAATCTGAATTAATTTTTTTAATTTGTATGTTTCTAATAATTGCATTAGATAGTCCTAAGATAGATGATTGAATGGCTAGAAAAAGATGCCAATGACCCAGGATATGGTGTGCTGAGCGAAGAAGAGATTCTCCAATCTGTTACTGGCGAGGTGGATGAAGAGGACGACGCCGACGATGGCAATGAGGAACCAACATCACAGACAACAAAATACAGTTTACTCATGTCTTCTCGTGTCATGCTAATTAATTTTTCGTCCAACTGTGCTAATCCAGAAGTTGGAAATGTGTATCAGTACCTAAGGTGAACCAAAGAGCTGATCATAAAAGAAGCCAATGAACACAAAAGGCAAGTTAAAACTTGATTCTTATTTTGTAAGGACAGCATCCAAAAGCCCTTCAACCAGTGAAGCCTCACAAGCAAGCCAAAAGCCTTCAACAAGTGAGGCTTCAGCAGCTGGCAATCAAAACTGACCTTGCCAAGTTAATGTACTGTGCAGTAATTTTAATGTTTTGATAGGTCAAGCTATATAAATTTTCAAGAATTCTTAACTTTAAGATGTGTAGCATCAATCGAGAAGACAACCCACAAGATAAGCTGAAGTTTCTGTTTAAAATTAATTACAGTACAGTACTTGAATATTTTATAATTATAGTCTGTGTGTGGCAATTCAAATTGCAGTAGGTTGGTTGTGGTACAACAAATTGTGAATATGATAACTTTTAGAGTTCCCCGGTAAGCCTTCTGCTTGTCCGGCAGGGGGCCCTTCCCTATATACTGTAGTTTGGATAAGCGAGCTTATTACTTTATTTAACCAATTTGTATAATGTCTACAGGTATCAAATTAACTTTAGCCTCATTAATCTGTAGATTATATATTACAGATTAAAGATTATATTATTACAGATTATATATTATTAGATTACAGATTAAAGATTATATTATTACAGATTATATATTATTAGATTAAAATATTACCTTGTATACCCAAATATTGTGTTGAACACTTGATTTTAATAAACTATTGTAATATAACACATACTTTACTTTGAATCCTTTAATTGAAAGAATGAAAGAAAAAAAATATTCTATATAACAATGCCGGACATTTAATAGAATAATTACCGGTAAGTCTTTTGGGTAATTTCAATCTATGAGAAAAAATCTGTGAAGAAAATAAAATTCATGGCATTAAATTTTTTTAATTATGCAGCATCAATGACAAGCGGGAGAGAAATGTATAGATATTTACTATGGAAATACAGTTTAATAACCACAGTTCATATTGCAAAGACTAACAAAATGGGATGCATCATCTAAAAAAATGTTAGGATACAGCATGTAAGTTCACTATAGACAAACTTATGCTTTAAAAAAGTACTATAACCTGACCTTAGGCCTACAAAATATTGAACTGAATACAAGGTAATGCTGCCAACCCACTGATAAAGTACAGCATTGTATATAAAGAGATATATAACATTAGTGAACTGGGAAAATATAAAATATTATATATACCTGAATATAAAAAACACACAGTCACTTTCTTCGGTCATTTAAGAAAGTTATTGACATTTACGGTAGGTTGAAACATAGTACAGGTACAGTATTACATACATAATTTTTGTTTAAAAGTTGTGGTATGAATCAAAAAGGAAATATTCTATAAAATGACACTGGAATAGAAGCTGTACACTCAAAACTCATGGGTATATCAATGAAAATCTGGTGATGTCCGAAGTTTCAGTGTGTGCCAATGTACGGAACGAGATTGAAAGCTGTACCCTAAAGTATCGCCAACAACACCTGCTCTTACTTTCTTATAAATAATGGAAGTGCAGGGGTCTATATAGTAATAGTCACCAGTTCTAACTACATGGGACAAGAAACACACCTTGGGGGTACAAATTTTACAAAAAGGATTTTATTTAACAAATACTGTACCAGATTTTCCTCACACTTCTTAGAGCAGGGGGGGGGGAGGGGTTACTTGGATCGACCACAGGATTGAGACAAAAAAAGTGGAGGGGGAAGGGAAGGGTCCTTCTCCCTCTACAACCTGGGACTTAAGGTCATTACTCTCTTCCACTCCTCATAGGTCACTATAAAGGGCCTGAGTTTACAAATGAATATACAAAACAAATGTGGATAATCCCCCGCATGTGGCACACAGCTGATCACATACACCTGAATTAACCACACACCACTCTCCCTACACACAGGGTTCCAAAAATCCTTATTTCCACAAATTCCTATTCCTAACTCTAAAGAAAAGAGGAAGATTCCTATCCCTAACCCCTAAAGAAAAGAGGAGCACCGCTATAAACATCTATAATATTGCACTTATCGTGTTTGTTGGAGACCATCCACAACACAGGTCTAGTTGTCACTGCCTCTCCCAAGTGACTGATAGAGGCTTGCACATGCCCCTGCCTGCCTGGTTCCAATAATGTCTCCTCCCTATACATGTCATACACATTTTCCAATACTTCATTTATATGTCTTATAATGTTCCAGGCTGTTTTTCTACATTTAATACTGTTGTTTCTCTATATTTTCTTGCATTGAATCTGCTTTTTCTTAACCATTTTATCCCTTTTGTTTACATTGTTTTTTTTTTTTTTAAGATTACATTTTTCTGTTGAGATGATGCTCTGTGCATCTGAAAGGGGACACAATTCCAGACTGTTTTTCAACATTTAACACTGCTATTTCTCCCTACACAAGGGTCTCTCTCTTACATAATACACTGCTATTTCTCTCTACACAAGGGTCTCTCAATAGCACTGCTATTTCTCCCTACACAAGGGTCTCTCTCTTACATAATACACTGCTATTTCTCTCTACACAAGGGTCTCTCAATAGCACTGCTATTTCTCCCTACACAAGGGTCTCTCTCTTACATAATACACTGCTATTTCTCTCTACACAAGGGCCTCTCTCAATAGCACTGCTATTTCTCCCTACACAAGGGTCTCTCTCTTACACCAAGTGATCAAATTCTTGTGTGCCAATATTTAGACAAATGGGTACTTTACCAGTTTCCCACATAATTGCAGACTTCTAAACATGAACACATTTATTTCCTATTAGAGTATCCACAATAGCCATTCCATTAGAGCAAAAACATAATGTACATTGTTACATACCAAAATGAACTTGTATATTCAGTATAATATTGGTCAGTATTTCCCACATGATTACCAAAATGGCCACACGTTTCATGTTTTTATTTTTTTATTTTTTTTTTTTTTTGCACATTGCCTGTGTTCTTTTGGTTTGTCGATAAGAATATATACAGTGGTACCTTAGTGTTCAACTGCCCTAGAGTACAAATTTTTTGATGTACGACGTAAAATTCATCGTAAAATTTGAATTGGTGTACAATGTTTTATTTGGAAGACGACGTCTGTTGATACGCATATACTGTAGGTCAAAACGAGCATGGGGCGAGGCGCTCTCAATTTCTTTACCAGTGTACTGTATCTGGTGTAGTGACGACTGCGACCGCACTTGAATTCTTTGTGAAAAATTTCATTTTTTTTTTTTTTTTTTTAACAAAAAGTTCTTATTATATATCATGCCATGGGTCCCAAGAAAGACATTGGTAAAATTCAACCTAAGAAAGTAGTTGTGAGGATGATGATAGAGGAAAAACAAGAGGTCATTCAGAGTGAGACAATGTGATGTTTCGCTACAGAAGAGTGTGAAAACGTAGGGAAAAACAAGTGTCTATAGACATATTCTTAGTACGACAAGCAGGCAGTGAGCCACAACCTGGTCCTAGTAGTATGCTTGCAAAACGTATGAAAGAGAGTAAAGAGAGTACCCCAGAAATGTCATCACTGCTGTTATAATGGAAAGGGGACTCCCCTTCCAAACACTAACACCTCTTCTCCTCAACATTTTCCATACGCCAACAAGAGTCCTCATTAAAGGGTAAGATATACATACTGTAATGTAGTCCAAAATGACTGGTATTCGGTATAAAATGTATTTTTAAGTTAATATTTTTGGGGTGTGGAACGGATTTACATTATTTCTTAAGGAGAAAATCCGTTTTGGTGTACGACACATCTCTGGGAACGGATTAGGATCCGAAACAAAGGTACCACTGTATACATACTAAAGCAACATTTAGGCATTTTACCTAAATAATTAGATGTATATCAGTTTGCAAATGAAAAATTTATTATCAGATTACATAAAATATTTGGCACTATAGAGGCCAAGAATATGAACTACATTTAATGGCCAAAACTCTAGGACTGGGTTATGCTAATTCCAGTTTAGCATAACAATACTGTATGATACCTTTTTCCGTAAATAACCTATATTAAAATTCAGCATTCTGGTAAATGATTGTACTGGTGGGGTAATCCGGTATTACCAAATGTTTATGGAGATAGGGAGTAGATAGTTGGCTGTGTATGGACAAACCTCTTAGATTTATGTAAATATAAACTACATTATTGTGACATTTTCTGATTAAAATGTTTGTGCTGAATGTTGAACTTGGAAAAACAATTTTACTAGGAAATAAACTCATTTTATTACAAAATAAGTGGCAGGTGATGCCTAAAGAAGTTGACGATCTAAGTGCCTATATTCTGGAGTCCAGCCTGTCCTCATAAAGAGTGGCAAAATACTCATTAATCCTGTCACCAAACCCCATTTGTAAAAGAAAAACACTTTACACACATGACTTACAACTGATAGCACTTGAACCTTTCTCAGTGTTTTCCTGAGGGCTTCTGTTTGAATTGCATGTCTGTAAATGCTTCACCTATGTACTACAAATAATTGCCAAAGGAACCTAATGCTTAACCAAACCTAATCTAGGCCCAACTGCAATGTACTGTATACCAAATTCTAATACCATCATAACATTAACTTTTATGATCAAATACCAATTTTTAATATGCTGTATGGAGTTTCATGAATGTGTCTTTGGGGTTGACCACAGCTTGGATGGCCATAGCCTTAGTTTATATGGTAATTTTTAAAAATTCCATTATGGGAAGGGAAGAAGAAAATTATACAGGTGGTGGTGGTGACGTAGCTATATATATTGACTCCTCTTGGCTTCAAGTCTAGGCCCCCACAACCATTTCTTACATATGCACTTTTGGAGAATATTGAAAGTGCCATCTGGTTTGACTAAAGCCATAATATTAAGTGCTAGAACAAGTAGAAATGTGGGAATTATGGGGATTAACATACTGAGTATACCAGATGATATATGATGGTATGAAAGAGTGTAAGGGTAACAATCATGAGGAACGAGGATAGTTAGATATATACAGTAGATCAAATATCTGCATAGATGGTTCCTGCATAGATGGAATATATATACTAGCCAAAAAAAAATATTATTAGTGAAATATACAGACCTAGAAGAAGCCTATGATATAATTAATTGCAATTCATTTTGGTTGATTTTTAGATGGAAAAACGTGTATTTTAGTTTAGTTAATTTATTATGCACCCCATACCCATCCTGTGGGCAGTAGTGGAAAAGTTTACAGAGGTACATAATGGGCTCAGGGACTGAATCCATAAATTCAGTTAGCTAAGCAGGTTACAATCTTGATGAGCTAGTTACATGTTTTAATGTACTGTATATTAGTATTATATCCATGTGTTCAAGATCAACCACAAGTACAGTCTCTAAATTAAGTAGCTCACATATGTGCTAAGCTAGTTTCATAATTGATTTGCTTATTATGTACACCACTCTCCATACAGTATGCATCAGTGGAAGGGTTACTATCACCCACATTTATTACCTACAGTTAGCAAATGGGATATTTAGCTAAAATTTCTCATAGTAGATCACTCTGAATTAAATATTGTGAATAATTTTGCTGGCATGGTTTACATTTGGTCAGGTGTACATCAGCAGGTAATGCAACATCCCAGAGATCCTTCTAACTGAGTAAGTCAAGCAGTAGTAACATCTATGAGTCTCCTGATTTTATTGGATGTTTGGATGATCCATAGATGTGTGTCACTTCTTGCATGGTAGTATGATAGATGGAACTGCTAGCATAGATAAGTTCACTGTATCTCAGATCTACAAGGTTTTGTTGAAGTTCTTGGTGCAGTATCGTTCTCAAGTTGCTAGGAAGGCAACCTAAGGTTATATATACTCAACTACTCCTTTGAAGGCAGATTCTTTGGCTAACTCCAGCTCTCTCATGCATTCAGAGGCCAACATGAGATGGAATCCACATGAAATGGACATCATTAAAAATTATGTTGTAATTGTGTCTAGCTTCAGACACAAGCATGTTACAATTATGTCAAAGAGTTGAGTGCAATTAAGGATGATTAAGAATCACTTACAATTAATGTATGAAGTTTGGAGGCTTGTATACATTTTAGTGCAAGAATTAAGACAAATAGTATGGTCTGAAGGGTAGAGGCTCAGTTGTTTATACGGACTCACCACTTAAAATATAAATATAAGCAATCACCCATTGACAGGACAACTGCCCTTCCAGCTGCACCCATGGGTCGGTGTAGGATAGCATCTGTGTATATAGTTTGAGAGAAAATGCTCTGTGGACAGAGCATCAATATGGCTTTAAGGCATTGAGCTTTGCCTCTAGATGAAGCTTGGGCCTCATCTTTAATTTGCTTCTCAGGTGGAAATGTTGGGATTAAAATTGGAAAAGGGGTAATCTCCCACAATGCAGGAAAGTGTTGTTCTCTCTCCTGGTACAAATTATAAATCTGATATATTCTGAGTTCAGTTCCAATTCTAGTTATCCATACTAAACAATGTTGACCTTTAATAAAGAAATTCTAGAGGGCTTCTGTGCAGGGTTAGAATGAGCTAGACTAAACATTTTGAGTTAATTTCAGTAACATGATCAATGACACTTGAAATATTAAGTTCCTTTCTCATATTAAGTATCTTTGTGGTATAAGAGCATCCAAAGATAATCCTCAAGGCTTTGTTCTGCAATTTTTCAAGCCTTCCAAGCTTTCTTCAGGTAGCAAAGCAAGCAGAGGTGCAGTATAATCCACTAAAGATATGATGTATGCAAGGTACTGTACATCATTTTGACAATTCTGACATTGGCACCATAGCCTGAGTGATAACCTGCAAGAGCCTTGAGAGCTCTGAGCCTCTCTTTATGCTGATGACAGAGTTTGATTACAATATGACCATATAATGGGACCTCAAGGTCAAGGTATTTGTATCTGTTTTCGTAGTCAAGTTGTGAGTCACCATACAGTTGCATCTTGCAAACAGCTCCTCCTTGCCTGGGTGGACGCTGATTTAGTATCTTTGTTTTTTCTGCTGAGATGACTCAACCTAGGAATTGATAGAAAGAGCCAGGTTGTTTAGAGAGGAGAGGAAAGACTGGAAAAGACTAGTCATAAGGTTAAAGAGCAAAAATATCAACATAGCAAAGCCAGAGAGAGGGATGAGTATCAGTAGTAGGAAGAACAGTTTCAAAATATTCCATATAGAGATTGGCAAGAACAGGGGAGGGAGACAGAGAAAGATAAGATCCCATAGTGACATTGCAATTTTAGAAAAATATTTACTATTGAAAGAGGAGTTAGTCAACATGGAGTCTGAGTACAGTTGGCGCAATTTTGCTTCTGCTGTTGCTTTTTGGTGCTGACGGCTGTTACAGTCGGGGCAGTTGTGGTTGTGCTGTAGATTTTGGGTGCAGTTGTCGCAGTAGTGCTTCCCTCAGGTTTGCGTACAGTCAGGACAACAGTAGCCATTGCTCCCAATGATGGAATATGATCTGAAAGAATAATTTGATTTAATATTTCCAATAAACCATATCTGAACTCAGTTGAAATAAAATTAATGAAAAATAAAATAAATACAAATAAATTATGAACATTTACCACTTGGTAACAATGAATGAATGAAGCAATGACTAATTTTCCTTCACGTCTCTTGAGATATGACATGATGACCAAACCACAACTCAGAACATGGAGAAGCGATAATTTTTCAGTCCGTGACAGACCATTATCAAGTCGAGATAATGGTCCAGGACGGACCGAAACATTGTCGCTTCTCCATCTTCTAAGTTGTAGTTTGGTCATCATATCTTCAGCCATGTTATTGTGACACATCGTCTGCACTGAGATATTACATGCTGGCCACTAGAAGGACCTTCACTTTTGAGCTTGAGTAGTAGTAAATTTGATGCAAGAGATGTATTACCTTTTTCTCCATTTCATTATACTTTCATATTGACTACCAAAATTCTCTTGTGCTTCAATTAATTACTTGTTTACACTCTTAGCAAACACATGCCTTGTTCCCACAACAAAACATTTACTACAATAAGTACTTTATATTCATAACTTCATCCTGCTAATACACCTGTGTATCATCTGCCTACATGTGCTTTCATCTCCAAACACCTGAAATATGCACCTGACATCAATCACTTGTGACATTATCTCTGTCACCACACACCAGACACACCAGACTCCAGCCTTCACAGACATACCTGCTACTAATAGTTATATTACTGGATCAAACACTTGAATGGAATATAGTAAAGGGCCAGGTTGGGTAATCACCTAGAGGATTGAACAAATGAAGAGCCAGATTCAGTTGCCTCCTGGAGGAGTAATTGCAAAGGGCCAGATTGGGTGACCACATGGAGGTCTATAGTGATGGGCCAGGTTCAGTTACCACCTAGAGGGCCGACTGCGAAGGGCCAGGTTGGGTGACCACCTGGAGGGATGGATCACATCAACTTACACAAGTACCTGAAACAAAGAAATTTTTCTCATGAAAAAGAACGTCAAAGACCAGTGATTCCAGGTCTTAATCAGTACAATGTGCCATTGTCTTCCTAATCTTACAAGAGTTGTGATGACTTGAGATATCAAATCATATTTAGGAGAGTCGTACAGCTAAATTCTTCTTTTGGTATAGCATTTACAAATACTGTAATAAATGGTTTCCTTTTTTAAATCTTGTACAACAACTAAGTTTCATTGTTATTGCAATTAACTTATTAGTCTTTAATACAAACATCTTTTGATCAAATTTACAGGAGTGTTAGTACAGTTTGCTAAATAGATTTAGGATTCTTAAAACATCATAGGCAATACTTTGGGAATAGGGGCATATGCCCAGTGATGTGTGCCCCCTATAAAGTGTTACAAAATCGATTGCAAAAAATTTATTTCCTGTGTATCATAACAGTGTTGGCAAAGCTATTATTGCATTAGCAAGACTCTTGATGTCAATTAATTGATTCCAGTCCATCCATGAACAAACCCTAGCTTAACACAGTTGACATCCTATCACTATCACGACATGCTTGACAACCAATCACTAACATGGCATGCTTGACAATGCCAGTGTGCAAAGGGACATAGGAGTTCAAAACTGGATACTCTGACAACAATCATATAACAACGATGCCGTTGGCACCCTATAAATGCAATATTCTTTGAACAAATTTCAGTGTGAAAAAAGTTAAGTCAAGCTACAATTCTGCAGAGATCTGAACCCACTGTCCTTAATTGCAAGAGTTAGGTCATACTGCTCTCTTTACTACCACTCCTAACACTTTATTGAAGTCAATTAGGGTTGATATTTATCACCTCCCTATCTTGGGCAGCATATATCTATAACAGTACAGTACATGCAAATTAAATGCATCAAGACTCTTGCCTTACTAAAAATCTTATGGCATATATCATTGGGTTCCAATAAACAAATACTTCTGGAACTATGGATGCCCCATATACCAACGTTTATTGACTTGACCTCAAATTGTCATTGTCTTGGCACTAAATGATGTTTGCTTATGTCTTAAGTTGAGGTGGGAGCCTTATTCTTCTCCAGCCCTAACCTTATATGTGGATGCTGATCTACTGTCATTACAAGACCACTATGATCAGTATTGTCTGCCTTACAGATGGACAAATGCTCCTCTTGGGAGTTCTGTTTGCTCTCATTTGCAATATTTTACTGCAAAATTAAACAGGAGTCAAGATTGGCAAGCTTGTAGGAGTCTCTCTCTTTGTGCACTTTCACAATGTGTCTATTCGTATTGTGCCGTCTTCACCCCCCCCATGAAGTCCAAAGTGTTAAATTTGATGAAGCTCCAACCCAGTGTTTCTCATCCTTGTACCCTTGGGATAATTGTGGGTCATACTTTAGATACACATGGATTATTTTTGGTTTCTGTCTTTGTTCCTCATACTCTTTAAATGAGAAAAATGGCACTTTTCCCTGATGGTTCTCCGCTTCCCTTGTAATGGTGGTAGTGGGTGGTGGTACTGCTTGTAATGGTGGTAGTGGGTGGTGGTACTGTTTGTAATGGTGGTAGTGGGTGGTGGTCTGTTTGTAATGGTGTTAGTGGTTGGTGGTACTGTTTGTAATGGTGGTAGTGGGAGGTGGTACTGCTTGTAAGGGTGATAGTGGGTGTGGTACTGCTCGTAATGGTGTTAGTGGGTGGTGGTGCTGCTTGTAATGGTGGTAGTGGGTGGTGGTACTGCTTGTAATGGTGGTAGTGGGTGGTGGTACTGTTTGTAATGGTGGTAGTGGGTGGTGGTACTGCTTGTAATGGTGGTAGTGGGTGGTGGTGCTGCTTGTAATGGTGTTAGTGGGTGGTGGTACTGTTTGTAATGGTGGTAGTGGGTGGTGGTACTGTTTGTAATGATGGTAGTGGGTGGTGCTGCTTGTAATGGTGTTAGTGGGTGGTGGTGGTGCTTGTAATAGTGGTAGTGGGTGTGGTACTTTTAGAATGGTGGTAGTGACTAATCACAGCACCATTAGGAACTGATGATACTGGGTGTTAGCAAGAGTGTCATCATTGCTAGTTATAAAACTGGCAGCACTGTGTGGTGGTGATTGTGGTTGTTGGCACTGTGCGGTGGTGGCGATCGTGGTTGTTGGCACTGTGTGGTGGTGGTGGTGACACGCGGGAGAGTGTGGAGGTATATTCTTGGTGCCAAGTGCTGGCTGCTTCAGTCCCCTCCAACTGGCTAGGGCAGCAGCCTCTGTACCTTATCTCCTCTCCCATTTCCCATCTCCCCTCCCACCCTTCCCCTCTTTTCTCTCTATCCTTCCTCTTCCTCCTATCCCCAACAAATGCTCATATCAGAGGTTGTAGAGGAGGTAGTGGTGGTTGTGGTTGTAGGAGTGATAGTAATGGTGGCTGTGGTGATGGTAGCTGCAGTAATTTTGGTTGTGGGGCTGGTAGTTGTGGTAATGATGATTGTGGTGGAGGGGAGAGAGGGGGGGGGTAGTTGCGGAAATGGTGGGGAAAGTTGCAGTAATGGTCGTTGTAGTAGTGGTAGTTGTGGTAATGATGGTTGTGGTGGTGGGAGGGGTAGTAGCATTTATGCGTCAACCTGGCAACCTGTCCTCACACTTAATGCACACTAAACTTGACGCTACCACAATCGCAACGTTACAAAATTCTATTGCTTGAGTGAAATTAAAAGCACCTCAATATTGACGCTTCCTCGAACAAATGAACATCAATCAGCTTCGATATATTATGTGGTAGAACGCTTCTGGAAATCTGCAGGTTAGGCAAACACACTTCAAATAGCGAAAATGGGCTCGGGAGCTAGAGTTCGACACACAAGCAGACGTAAGCGTTTGGTTTCTAATCTTCGATTATTAAATTTTTAAAATTTCTTTGAAGTAGTGTATGTACTCACCTGAATGTGCTTGTAGAGAGGCATTAGCACTCGAGTCCATTGATCAAGATATCGGTCGTTTAGATTAGACGCTAATAGAGGTAATTAGACTATTAGAGTCTAGAGCAATGACGTGAACTCTCATATTAGTTTGTATTATGGAACTATGTATGAGGAAATGTATATGCTTATCTCTCAGAATGTTTGGTGATACGTTTATTGTTTGTGATGTGTATATATGTATGTAATAACACGATGTACTGAACGGGGTGAGAATAGCTTGAGCTACCTCATCCCTGTGTGTGTATTTTACCTCAATAAACTTATTTCAATTTCAATGTATTGTGTCGGCTTGAACTACTATACCGGCAGCCCGTTCTAATTGTAAAAGTATTTTCTGGCATTTCTAAAGAAAATCTAGAATTTATTTGAAATAGCCTCACATTTGAGAGTGATTTCCATGCCAGGGGTACATATGCTGTGGGACTACAACGTTCTTAAAGCTTAACGTTCCTAAAGACTTAAAAAGAGTCTGCGTTCTGTCGTTTACGGTTATCTGTCAACACGATGATCCTCAGCCGTTAGGATTATATCTGTCTCCAGATCTGTCTCCGCCGAGTCGGGGAAGATAACGTCCTGGTCATCCTGTCTGGTCCGTCATACCATTACCTTGCATATTTGAGTGGGAGCGCGTTAAAGAGCTTGGTTAAAAATACGATTATAATGCTGTAGCAACTATATTAAGCAACTTGTTAATATATAGTTGCTACGATGCAAATGCAACAAACGTCTTGCAATATATTTTTTTCCCTTCGTTACGTCCTTAAGGCCTATCAACCAGTCGGAGACTATAACTGTAACCCTCTACCATCGTTCACGGGATGGGTATGGGGTGCATAATAAAGACTCAATTAAGACTATTAAAGGCTTAAGATTAACTGAGCAAGAACTAAGTAAACCCCCGTGTATAGACGCCCAGAAGTGGTGACTCTGTGCATATATCCCCTGCCCTTCTCTCCCTATAACTTCCTATAACCCTATAACTCCCTATAAGACTGTGATGTTATGGGAGACAAGATCCAGAGGCCGCCTAAGACCGTGGAGAGGTGGTGTTGGTCTTCAACACCAAGTAACACTTCAGGCGTCTGACTTCAGCACCACAGTCTGCCTCAAGACTATTTTTACTGTTGGTTATGACGCTGGAAAATGTCGTTTTGGCGTTGGACTTTTATTATCAAAATATATACCCCCGGGTGCCTTAACTCCCGCCTGTACACAACTTCCCAGTGTTTAGTAACTTCTGTTATTCTCCAATCATAAGTGTTGGGTAACCTTGTGAGGCTGTTTATACAGTGTCTCTGTTATTATGGGTGACCAATGCAGTAGTCTAAAGCCTTCTGTAACCCTGAACTGGTATGATCATAATTCATTAGTAATTATGAGTATGACGTCACACCTCGTGCTCACCATATATATAAAACATTTTATCTTATTTTCGTGAGGTTGGGTTAGGCTGCGTAATGTCTGGTTAGATTAGCTGCGTTTCAAGAATAGCGATGACTGAAAGGGGGTACATATACTTTTTTCATGTATTTATAGACCCGACCATATATGTATTATGTACTGTAATTACATGTTTAATGAGCTATATATAGTGAAGGGGTGTGGTTAGTGGTGATGGTAATTCTTTCGAGTTACCACAACGTACAAAATACAAGGTGGTAACTTAACCAGAAACGGACACACCCGAGCAACCCATCTAACCTAGCAATGTGTAAAAAAAATTTGTTGCGAACTGCTACTTTTTGTGGTAGTTTATAATTGCCTGTCCTCTAATCTAAAGAGACGGTAGTTCTCAGGTAAATTCAGGTAGATAACGGCTTGTGAAAGTTCACGTTTTCTATGCATAGGTCCATCGGTTAAGGTAGATTCGCCCAAATTAGTACACTGATTTTCTGTCCATTGTCACAAATCGAGAAAATGGCCTGTATAAATTGTTCGTTGGGGGACCATAACGTACAAATTGAGACGTATTAGTTGAGAGGACGGATTTGGCAAGTACTCTTGGCTCGACTCGTGTCACCAGATACTGTAAGAAAAAGCCCAGACGGAAGGAAGGTGAGGGAGTGAACTCTGTGTACTCCCTGATCTCTCTCTCTGTCTTCTTGTACCCCGAGCTGTGTCTACACAGCTTTTCCCTTCTCTCTGACAGGAAATGTATATGTTTATCTCTCAGAATGTTCGCTAACACGTTTATTGCTTGTGATGTGTGTCTATGTATGTATTAACACGATGTACTGAACGGGGTGAGAATAGCTTGAGCTACCTCATCCCTTTGTGTGTATTTTACCTCAATAAACTTATTTCAAACTTCTATCTGAACACCCCCCCACCCACCGTTTCATGTATCCAGAATATAACATACGTTTATATGTTCCTCGTGACGTGTAATAGTTATTATGTATCATTAATTTTGGCTATGTTCTTTGATAAATATTTGTCAGGTCTTAAGTTTTTTTCTTTGTTGTATATTTAGGATTCGAGCCAATGTGTTTCATATTTAACATAAAACGCCAACAAATGTATCTGGAAAATTTACAAACCGTAATCAACATCTTTTACGATTAAATTTCTCAGTTTTTTGTTTAAGCTATTAGTTTTCTTTACATAAAGCTTCTTAATTGTGTAAATTTATTTATATTTTCGTTTGTCTCTATTTGCATAGTACTCAAGTTCCTCTTCGCTGGTACTAATGTGGTAGTAACGTAGCTACTTCATTACGGGTTATTCATACCCGTGCCACCTCTTGGGTGGCTTAATCTTTATCAATCAATCAGCTACTTCACCAGACACGGCAAGCCTAGCAACTGTGCTCACCTCCACCACACCAAAGGAAGTTACAGCCCCGCCCCTGTGCCACTACGGGCTCACCATAGCCCGTGCTACTTGGAACTTGTTGTTCCCAGTAGCTGAATCTTAAACAACAACAACAACCAGACCAAAATACCATCTGTGGCGGTTTTAGAAACTATCTCTCTTTTTTTAGAACGTTTCGGCGCACGTGGTATAAATTGTTTACTTAACTCTAACATATGAAATACCATATTTGAAGTCTAAACGAAGACGTTTTGGTGTACTTCCGGGTAGTACTGGTACTGCTGTGCGGACACACGTACCAGAGCTGGCGAGGAGGAAAGAGAGGAGAGGATTTGTATATTTAGATACATACAGATTTAGATACATTTATATTCATGCAGTTACCCCTAGACGGAGTAAGGTAAAGGGAAGGTTGGTGGACGGAGAGAGAAAATGAAGGGAGGGCGGGAAGATTGCTGTTAGTTAGACCCCCTTGTTGGTTAGACCATTAGTTGGTTAGACCATCAGTTGGCTAGACCATCACTTGGCTAGACCATCACTTGGCTAGATCATCAGTTGGCTAGACCATCACTTGGCTAGATCATCAGTTGGCTAGACCATCACTTGGCTAGATCATCAGTTGGCTAGACCATCACTTGGCTAGACCATCACTTGGCTAGAACATCAGTTGGCTAGACCATCACTTGGCTAGACCATCCTATCCCAAACAACGCAACTTCTCTTAAGTGGGTAAATAGACCTGTAGGACACAATAGTTAGTAGCAGTTGATTGATTGACAGTTGAGAGGCGGACTGAAAGAGCAGAGCTCAACCCCCGCAAGCACAACTAGGTGAATACACCCACGTGCTCCCAGATATCGTGAGGTATACTCCCCACGTCTAGAACATTACACCTCCACAACATTTTAAGAAGGTAAACAACGCTAGATACGAGATCAAAGCGTGAAAGGATCTCTTGTGTGTGGGGAGGGGGGGAGCGAAAGTCCACAGGAAATGGTGCTTAGAGGGTAAGAGAAGAGACAAAGGCAGTTAAAAATATATTTAGACCCCATCACGTGTCAATGGCCGCAGAGAGAACGTTAATCAATGGAAACGCTGTACGACACCTTTTTTTATGTGAACGAACACAGAATACGTGATGAGCCACAGAGCAGAGGCCACCAGCCAGGGATCCACCGGGAATTATGGCCGAGCTTTGCTTCTTAACAACAAGAAAATAACTTAAGACGGGGGGTAGAAATAGCCTAAGCTACTCTATCCCTTTGAGATGTATTTCTTTCTTGTCTCGATAAACATACTTGAATAACTTACGATAACGCACGGTATGTACCTTAGGCTTATATCAAGCCCCCCCCCCCTCCCCCAAGGTCGAACTACTGACCCGCCCCAGGATGGAACCCCACAACAGTTGACCTATTCACCGCTAGGTGAACAGAGGTATTGGGTAATAGGAAATGTGTACAACCATTTCTGATTGAGATTCCAGGTTTGAAACATTTCCGATTGAGAGTGGAGAACGCAGCTAACTGTGTTACCAGAACCCCTTTTGCGTAATAGTGGCTTTAGGCATTGTATGCACTAGCTCTATCTATAAATCCATCAATCTTTGTAAAATCTCTTGTATGTATGTACCTTACATAAATAAACATTTATTTATTTATTTATTTATTTTGAGAATCCGAATGATTCCTATCCTCTATTTCACTTCCGGAAAACTATCATTTACACCTAGTGTAACCATATTCTACCCTAGCTTGTAAAATTCCAATAGGTTCAGATATCCTGATCAATTGGTTAGACAAGACAGACCAACCCATTTCACAATGTAATAATAGGTCCAAAATCTATGTAAGGATTGCCTCGTTAAACACCACAGTCCTATTTTACACGTTTACTTCATATTAAAACACGAGGAGCTAACTGATAAAACATGCTATTCAAGGCTTTAGCTCTGGCAGTGACACTGAATCCCCTATATAAACTGCTGGCGACACCTCAAGACAGGGTTCAGCCCCTGAGCCCATTATGTGCCTCTGTAGCACTTTCCCACTACCGCCCACAAGATGGGTATGAGGTGCATAATAAATGAACTAAACCTAAACGTTATACTAATTATGCATACATAGAAAGCATAGCTAGAATATTTTCAGTATGAATGCGGTAATTAACCAGTAATGGGTAAATTATCGCCTAGGGTTGCCATCAGAAAATCATAGTTCATAGAATCGGACAACTTTTCAGTATTTCAAGTATTTAAAACATCATAGCAACACAATGACGATACAGGGTGAACAACCCAGCGGGTTTTCTTCCTATTGGGGAGTGTTGTACATGCTGCTATGGCGGTGTGTCCACTCACAAGTTGAGTGGCGCTGCCCAATAAACTCGCCCCTCGGGGCAAAAATTAAACACAATGACGTGAAAACTCATATGGAACAAGTTTCTCGACACAACCCGGCTTTCATTACCTAGCTGGAATGCGGGCAGCAAAACGAGAATAACAGACTATCTCTTTATAGTGTTGTACCTACCTGGTTGATACCTGGTTGATGGGGTTCTGGGAATTCTTCTACTCCCCAAGCTCCGGCCCGAGGCCAGGCTTGACTTGTGAGAGTTTGGTCCACCAGGCTGTTGGATGATACCTGGTTGATGGGGTTCTGGGAGTTCTACTTCCCAAGCTCCGGCCCGAGGCCAGGCTTGACTTGTGAGAGTTTGGTCCACCAGGCTGTTGCTTGGAGCGGCCCGCAGGCCCCGGTTCTAGACATAAGGTTCTATCGCCAGTTGCAGAGCTACCAAGAACCTTGAGAATGACTTTAAAGCATAAGATATCAAATTTTACCGTATCACAATTGTTTTAGGATGTCACACTGGCGTTAGGATATCACACTGGCGTTAGGATGTCACACTGGCGTTAGGATGTCACACTGGCGTTAGGATATCATACTGGCGTTAGGATATCACACTGGCGTTAGGATATCACACTGGCGTTAGAATATCATATTGGCGTTAGGATATCACACTGGCGGTAGGATATCACACTGGCGTTAGGATATCACACTGGCGTTAGGATATCACACTGGCGTTAGGATATCACACTGGCATTAGGATATCACACTGGCGCTAGGATATCACACTGGCATTAGGATATCACACTGGCGTTAGGATATCACACTGGCGTTAGGATATCACATTGGCGTTAGGATATCACACTGGCGTTAGGATATCACACTGACATTAGGATATCACACTGGCATTAGGATGTCATATTTGTGTTTAATCAAATATAAGTAGAAAACCGGCAATAGCCATGGCGCCGCCCTGCTGGCCAATAAAGCTGGCTGGCAAGGGCCGTCAGCTATCTCTCACGTGTGAGTGATTTCAAAACAACTGCCCAAAATAAATTACAGTATTGATAATTTGACGTCATATCCACTTTTATAGCTTGAGCTTTAAACCGTAAGAGAACGTAAACAGTACACAACAATGAAGCAATATAAATTATGGATATATGCATGCATGCAGTGTTCGAACGTTACACAACCCAAGGTTATTTGAGGGGATACTAGTTTATCCAACGCAACACTGTTGGTTCGCCAACGGAGTTAAAAACCAAACGGACGCAACCCAAACAGACCCGACCCAGCCCAAACTAATGTAACCTAACCCAATCTAATCAAATCTAATCTAATCTAGCTCAACCAAACGCAACCCAACCCAGCATAGGCGTACAGGGCAGGGTGGAGTTTACCCTAGGATAAACATTCTAACCTACCGGTATACCTGTATATGGTTTTGACAATCCGAAAAAAAGAGAGCTTTATTAAATGGTCTCGTGTAGGGTTTGACGATTACCCCGTTTGAGCCTAGCTAAATACTGTACTGTACTTATCAGTGGCTACGGGGGAGTGAGGTTTAGCTCTTTATGCCCCTGCCTACTAGTCTTGTACCTGCTGTGTTTCAATTTAACTATTCTGACATTCAAATTCTTTTTTTTTTTTTTTAATCTGGCCATAAAGTTGTGGATGGAGGTGGTTTTCACAACTATTTTTAGGGTATTTCAATTGTTAACTATCCGTACAGGGTAAGAGTACTTACGTTCCTTAGGCTCATTTGCGTTTCCGGCTTCCACTTGTGTCCTCTTGCCCTGCTTTCTCTCAATCTATGCAGCAGATCCTGTGACCTGAGTATACATGGGTGCTCACCTAGTTGGACTTGTGGGGGGAGGGGGAGCTGAGCTTGTTCTTTGATCCAGCCTCTAAACCTTCAATCATCTGGTGTCCAGGTTCCCACTATGCTTCTTAGCACTTTCCATTTGTTCACTACTCTGCCTCTGAAGAAAAAAAATGATGAGAAGCACACCTGTACTTAGTTTCCGTGTCCCCAAGTTCATGTACCATCTGTGCCAAGTAGTCTAACTTTGTCAACCATGCCCATTCCATTATAATTTTATATGTAGTGATCGTGTTTTCCTCCTTTCCTCCTAGCAATGTGGTGCAGCTGCAGTACTGGGTAGGTTATGTGGTTTTTACTCGAACCAAACAACCAATGCTGAGTTTAATATCCATCAACTTTTGCTAGATCATTAACTACACATACTTTTTACTCTTTGACAAACACTGTACTAATATTACAAATACTGTGGAAAATAACAAAAAAAACTATTAAGGTTTTCTAGCTGTAATAGTTTATTATATAAGTCTAATGCAATTCCATTATGTAAGGCTAATTAATGTAAGTCATATGTGTTTGTGAATCAATGTAGAGAAGAGTCCATAGACTGATATATGGTTCTGATGACAAAACCTGAGGACACATTGACCACACCATACACTCACCTCTACACGTGTATCCATCTTGGAGCAATCATTATACAGCTGCTGGTTGATGAAGTAACTCAGTGGTGTGTTACTGAAGCCCTGCTGAACTTCCCACTGGTCTTTTTGCTGCTGTACCTCGTTTTTGCCACTTTTCCCATCTACCATGTGAGTTACCTTGCAGATCACCATCTACCATGTGAGTTACCTTGCAGATCACCACCTACCATGTGAGTTACCTTGCAGATCACCATCTACCATGTGAGTTACCTTGCAGATCACCACCTACCATGTGAGTTACCTTGCAGATCACCACCTACCATGTGAGTTACCTTGCAGATCACCACCTACCATGTGAGTTACCTTGCAGATCACCAACTATCATGTGAGTTACCTTGCAGATCACCACCTACCATGTGAGTTACCTTGCAGATCACCATCTACCATGTGAGTTACCTTGCAGATTACCACCTACCATGTGAGTTACCTTGCAGATCACCACCTACCATGTGAGTTACCTTGCAGATCACCAACTATCATGTGAGTTACCTTGCAGATCACCACCTACCATGTGAGTTACCTTGCAGATCACCACCTACCATGTGAGTTACCTTGCAGATCACCACCTACCATGTGAGTTACCTTGCAGATCACCATTCTCATGGCCGGGGCATCCTGGTCAACAAGACAATTGGATGTGGCTGCTTGCAGCCTGAAATGCTTAAAAAAAATTAAATCTGCATTTTTAATTACATTTCTAGTAAGGAAATGCTCTGTTTCTTCCAGCTGTTGTTCTAAAAAAAAAGATGCAGTGGCAAAAAACATTTTTAATTTAAGTCAACATTTACTAATGTAAAATGAAAGTAACTTGTAATTTTTTCTCCACTTTGATTACATTTCTAATAAGAAAAATTGGTGTTCTTTCCATATACAGTATATGCTGCCTAAACATGATTAAATATTCTGTATTTTATTTGTATTACAGTTCATTACATATACACATCAAGACTTGCAGAAAGACACATTATAAACAAAATTTTATATTGTAAATTTATGGTTGAAATCTACAGCTTGGCACTCATCATATAACAGATGTAGACACATTTTAGCCCATTTTTTCATATAAAGCTCAAGCTCATTACCAGCTTTGCTGAGATGATGTTTACAGTTCAAAACATATTCTGATGTGAAAATTATCATCAATGCTAGAAGCATTAGTATTGCTCATCATTCAAAATATAAGCTATAAATTTTATGTTTTTTTTCCCATATGTTAAGCTTAAGTTAGGTGAATTTGCAACAAGCACGACTTTCTAGGAGCACTTTTTAGAGGATTTACAGTATGGAGGCAGCCTCTGTGGACACCCAGACCTGCATGTTAACACAAAATATAGGGTCTCATTCCCATCACATGCACGGGGTCTATTGGAAAACAAGTTAATTTACTCCAATCAATAGAGAAATCAGGTGCCATATTTGCATTTATATATTAAGAGTTCTTTAAATAAATGTTGTTTAAACAATGAATACTAAAATTCAATTACTGTACTGAATAATTTTAGCTTCTGATGCTGTATGAAATGATAAAAGGCCGCAATTTATACTCTGGAGAATGATACTGATTACAATTATAGATACTGTAGTACTACCCGAATACCTAAGGAACTCCATTGGGATTCATGATCCCAAATTTGCAGAAGGAACTGGTCAGTGGGACACTCTTGTCAATTCACACCCTCGACCAACTTTTCCAAACGACGGCAAACAGGCCAAATGGGATAGCCCCATAGTGGAGAACATCGCCAAAGCATTGCTGGAGGCAGCTTCTGAGAAGGACAAAGCGCATCTCCTAGCTGTGCAAGCCCCCCATGCCAGGGACTTCCTGTTGGCAGTCCCTAATTCCCCCTTGGGCACCCGCCTGGACCATCGGGCCCTAAGTATTGGCGTTACCCTGCGCCTTGCCGCCCCTATCTCCACTGAACACCGGTGTATTTGTGGCTATGCACGGGCGGATCAATACGGCAGCCATGGTCTCATCTGTCCAAAACACAGGGAAAGATTGCCAGACATGAAGCAGTCAATGACATCATCAAGAGAAGTTTGGCTACAGCTGGGTGTCCATCACAAAGGGAACCTCAGTTGTGCAGACCTGACAACAGCCAAAAATGCCCAGATGGAGTCACCCTGCAGCCTTGGAGGGAAGGTAAACAGGTTGTATGGGATTACACGTGTGCGTCTACATTGGCTGTAGGGGCTACATTGGCTACGGGAATTAAACCTCACGTCGCTAGAAGACAGAAGAGTTAGGGGGGATATGATCACCACGTACAAGACTCAGAGGAATTGGTAGGGTAGATAAGGACAGGGTATTTAACACAAGGGCCACATGCACTAGGGGACACAGGTGGAAACTGAGTGCCCAAATGAGCCACAGAGATATTAGTAAGAATTTTTTTAGTGTCAGAGTGGTTGATAAATGGAATGCATTAGGCAGTGATGTGGTGAAGGCTAACTCCATGCACAGTTTCAAGTGAAGATATGATAGAGTCCAATAGGCTCAGGAACCTGTACACCAGTTGATTGACAGTTCAGAGGCGGGACCAAAGAGCCAGAGCTCAACCCCTGCAAGTACAAATAGGTGAGTACACACACACACACATCCAGTTGATTGACAGATGAGAGCCGGGACCAAAGAGCCAAAGCTCAACCCCCCGCAAGCACAATTAGGTGAGTAGACACACACACATGCACGCCACGCTTTCTAACTTCTGAATTGCTTTTAAATACATGGATGGCAATATACTAGAGAAATTGTTCACGATTTTTGTTAGGCCAAAGCTAGAATATGCAGCGGTTGTGTGGTGCCCATATCTTAAGAAGCACATCAACAAACTGGAAAAGGTGCAAAGACATGCTACTAAGTGGCTCCCAGAACTGAAGGGCAAGAGCTATGAGAAGCGGTTAGAGGCATTAAATATGCCTAAACTAGAAGACAGAAGAAACAGAGGTGATATGATCACTACGTACAAAATAGTAACAGGAATTGATAAAATCGATAGGAAGATTTCCTGAGACCTGGAACTTCAAGAACAAGAGGTCATAGATTTAAACTAGCTAAACACAGATACCGAAGAAATATAAGAAAATTCACTTTCGCAATTAGTGTGGTAGACGGTTGGAACAAGTTAGGTGACACAGACAGACAGACAGACAGACAGACAGACAGACAGACAGACACACACACGCACGCACGGTTCATGTAATAGATACTTATACCTGTACTCACTACTGAATAAAATAACAGGGAAAAAAGATTGAATTGGCATGTGTGAGGAGCCATTTCATGATGTAAATCAAAGTAAAATGATTCACTAGAGAATAAATGTTAAAAAAATAATAATAAATAAATAATATACAACTAATAATATATAATTAATAATAATAATAAATACAGTATATAATTAATAATAATAAATAATATAATGAAATCTGGAGGATACAACAAAAGAAATGGAAAATGAAACAACTGCACATGAATACTTTGTTTATTGATGCCTAACAACACAGAAATTATGTTCCTACACATTCTAGTCTTTATTAAATCCGTCCTATGGGGCGGAGTTTTGTTTTTACAAATGTTTCCTGGTGTACAGCTCCACAGCACTGTTTACACTTATCACAAAATTAAAAAAAGAAAGACCAGTCTACCAACGCGTCGGTAAGAAATATTTTGCAATAATCTATACATACTGCTTGAAACGTTGACTGTTTTATCAACCCTTTGTGAATTTTTGATGAAACAAAAATGTCAAAAGGTAGGTGGGTGGGGGGGGAGGGGGGGGATGAGGTGTCTAGGATCAGCACATTCATTTTTTTATACAAAACACATTCACTTTAGCATTCTCTGGTTTGTGAGCGTCGTACAAGGGACTCCAACTCTCCTAAAAAATTATGTACAGTATTCTCCACAGAACCGATAACTATATCAGACATCTATATTACAGTGTCTTACAGCATGTGTACAATATGTAAATATGAGGGGCACAGGAGTGGCTGACCATCAGTATGATCCAGCCCTTCTCACCCTATCTAAGAGGAGAAAATTTTGAATCACCCTGTACGGCTGATGAAGACAGCTTTTAAACGTTTGCCAAAGGATGAAGAGTCAATATTCATCAAGACTAAAGATAAGCTGTCTTCACCCAGATTACACGGGATGGAGCAATGAGTGCGGGAGAAAATGATACACAAGAAGCAATCACATTCATCTGGGGCCGACTCTGACTTAGACTTCGGCAGTATCACATGACTGAGAACTAAAACTATAATGCTGGCTGATGCTGTGAATTCATGAGGCCACTATCTATGAAACATGAAAGGGCTAAGGATGTGGGATTATGGACCTGACTGAAGGATGAGTTGTGGGAAGCAAGTCAGAGTACACACAGACAAATGAGCAAACGAATGCCTGAAACACAACACAGACGTAGAGGGCAGCACGTGGCCACAGGGCCCATATGTACATTTGTGACAATTTATGTACATTGCCGAAAGCCCTTTAAATGTGTATACATTTTTTGGTCGGGACTCAAGGGGACTTTAATCTGTTTTTTCCCAGTATCTTAGCATACCTGTCAGTGTTTTCGACTGTTGACTGAAGTTTTAGAAATATACTGTAATTGTTAACATACACTGTATATTAATTATAGGTATCCCTCACTAGTTGTCAAAGGATGTGTTCCAGGAAACCTTGGTAAGTCATAAAATTAATTGTGAACTTTGCTTTTGATGAGAATAATGAATAACTGGGTTGTCTCACATCAATACAAATTTTAATAAAGTGTTACATCTCAGAGGATTCATCCAGGCTGTGATTCACATGTTGGGCTGTGAGCAGTGGCATCTAACAGCTTGGTTAACCAGACCACAAACAAGGAGGTCTGGTCAGAGACTGGGCCGTGGGAATATTGATCCTCGGAACCATTGAAATGTAACCAAGAGGTAAAAGGTAACATTTATAACCTCATGATGGTTCAAAATTGAATGATGGAGTTGAAATTGCTTAGTGCATATGGTAAGCTACAATTATTTTGTTTATTGCAAATGCAACTGCAAAACGGATGGATTTATTGCTTTTTGTAATACTGTAGTATTAAAATTTTTATTTTTTTTTTAAAGGAAAATTATTTATAATTTAAATGTATTGAAGTATGAAGTCAATATAGGTGTAGTGTACCGTACAGTATTCCAAGATGAGGGAGAGGCAGTATCTAATATCACTCCATACTTTCATCACCACTCATTTTGTAATTTTGATGGGTTATTTTTGCACGAATAATCTATTTTATTTTCATCTAGTTTATAAAAAAACTAGCATGGATAGGTTAATAGTCATTACTTTATATGCAATTAATGTGGCCAAGTGTAAAAGGGACGCACTACAACAGGCATGGCCACCACTGGACTCGGTGCTCATGCTAAGTGAAGAAGCACTTGCTATGTAATGGAAAAATCTGATGAACTTAACCTCACTTAGCTACGAAACATTAACTTCAATCACTTACTAGTGAGGGTACCTGTGTGTGTGTGTGTGTGTACTCGCCTATTTGTGCCTGCAGGATCGAGCGTTGGCTCTTGGATCCTGCCTTTCTAGCCGCCAGTTGTTTAAAGCAATGACTCCTGTCCTTTTATGTAATTACCTAAGTGTAGTTACAAGATGAGAGTTACAATCCTGGTGTCCCGTCTTCCCAGCACTCTGTCATATAGCGCTTTGAAACTACTGAAAACTACTGTGTATGTGTGTGTGTGTGTTTTATATACAGTATTACATATACATACTGGTACTGCATATATATATTATACTGTGTAGAAGTACCACTTCTTGTAATATTATAAGCACTCATAGCCTCATAAAAGAAAAGAAATATATAATATATACTGTAACATCATACTTTTTAGGCAAAATGATTAAACTTGGCCTTGTAGACGAGGCTCGGCACACTGAATAGGCACAGCCTTTTCTTTTGGTGCTTTATCTTTCCAGTAACTCTATGAACAATAATATACATTATTAACAAAGTGTTTGATGATTACCACTACTACAAAAAATCAACTTTATTTTTAATCATGTATTGAAGAATGATAGGCATATTTTGGTTAGGTGAGGTTGCCAAGTTATCTTTATTTCAAATTTCAACTTGCATAATATATACAGTATTTTTAAATATTTTATGTTAGTAAAATGAAAATATTCACGTACAAGACATATATACTTTTAAATTTGGATAAAGATCTTGGCAACCTGACCTAACATAAATATTCCTATTATTCAAAGACTCTGGCTAACAGGTAAATCTGGGCTTCATTAAATGAGGAATTAACGTTATATTGATAACATTAAAATATTCCATATTCCATTAAAATATGACAAATTTGAATATAGAGGAAAGCAAAAAATGCTCTGCCTGCAAAAACAAAATGGCCCCTGCTTACTAGGCCTAGTAAGCAGTTTTTTTTTTTTTTGCCTAACAGCCAATGCAGCTTTGTCTCTCAAATACATTTTTTATAACACTACACACAGAAATCACAATAACGTGATGCATCAAATGAACAAATCCACAAGGGCTGTGACGAGGATTCGAACCTGCATCCTCGGACGCAGGTTCGAATCCTTGTCACGGCCCTTGTGGATTTGTACATTTTTTATAAATTTGTCTACCACTAATACAATTTCCATATTATACTAATTACAAACTTTATTAGGCCTGTTTTCACCTATGTAAAGTTTAGAATTAATGTATTCAACATGTTAATTGTACCAAGACTAGAATAATTTTCAGAGATATTGAAACATACAAAGCCACTTTGATCATTAGGCAAAACAGTCCTTGCTACTGGGCCAAGACCTTATTACCAGATATCCAGAAATGTTTATTATATTTTTTTTTTACCTCTACCAAAATATATTCGTAATGGTGTGGCACTTTCCCCTGATGATTCCCTTCCCTTCTATCAAAATTACTTTACCAAAAACAAATTAATAAATACAGAAGCCTATTTATTAAGCCAAGCATGTCTACACACGCGTCAAAAGTCATTTTATAGGAAATTCAGCTTCTTAGCCAACTCTGGTTATCAGATATGACATTATAGTATATTTATATATTTATTTTACACAGTACAGTATACAATATACAGTATATAAGGTTCAGAGTCATTACAGTTTAAGAAGTTCAATAAATGTCAATAGATGTACCTGTATCAAAATGGAAGTCACTTTACAGTACTGTATATTTGACAATAACATTAAAATCTGAGTCACTGGTATTTAGGAGTGTGTGTGAGCGAGTCACTAGCATGAGACACTAGGGAGCGCACTCATCTCTATTGCACATTGTCAAGACAAAGTATTCTGAATATAAATCACAGAATCTGTGTCAAGTATAAAAGTTTAAAAAGTTTTAACCTTAAACTTCTTTTTTATCGGTACACTGCAGTAGAATAAATTATAAAAGTAATCACAGTACAACATTACCTTCTTAACGTTCTGTTTAGTACCCTCACATTTCTAATGTATGTAACAATGTCAATCATAGTGTGTATATTTAAATAAAATTGATTTTCCAATATTTTTAAAACATTCAATTTTTACCATTACAGCGTCTGTATGTGTCTTTGGCTTTCTGATAAAGTACTAGTAGATCCGCCGGAGTTTTGCACACATCGAAGTATATTTTGTGGACACAATCCTCCAGGATGATTGGAGAATTGCTTGTGGTAAAAGAATTTAATTTGACTAAGTTATACATACAGTACTAGACATAACTCGGATGACTAAAATGGTTTGCATAATTAATATAAATAAATAAAATGTTTTGGATAATTCATAATTAATATAAATAATTAAAAAATTTTGAATTGGACATTAAGAAACATGTTTATAATTAAATGAGTAAATAACATTCTCAGATAAAAGTAGACAAAATTAAAATAGCTGTGTTGTATGCAGTACTGTAAATACATAATCTCCTTCAAGGGCAATATTTTAATAAAATTATATATTGTCACATAAATTGTTTGACATAATTATAATGCTTCTACATATGAAATTTTACATAACTGTCGCTTCAAATCTCAACATAAACATTTAAATACAGATATAAAGATTTGCGGACCTACAGCCTAGTAACTTTTTTTTAACAATAAGTCATTTACATCTTCTACAGTACTGTATGTGTAAAGTATATCTGTTAGCCTGTCAGGTTTATATAAGTTATATTGACAATTGTCAAGTCACTTGCATGTTGGACACTGAACAGTCGTCTTACTGAGGTTGGCAGTTGTCCAGTCGTCCTCACCGTGTATACACGTTGGATGGCTGCATGGGGCGCCTCCTGCTACACCACAACACCCTGCACGTCCCCTAATTTTCTTTTTTGTGACTCACACAAGCAGCAGCAGCAGTTTTTATCTTACAATTTGTATGTTCAGATCCTAAAGGGAAAGAAACTTAACCTAAAGCAATCTCATGTTTATCTCTCTTTTTTTTTTTATTTATACATTTACTTGCTGCTGACTTGTGGAATCACTTCACTAATGGTGACCAAGACATGCATTCCAAACGCTTTGCCCGCAAAGTGTGCTGTCCCTTTTACTACAAAATATTGCACTTCTTACAAAAAATGAACTACATCATCTTCACACAAAAGGAACACTATCTTTGGGATAAAAAAAAAAATCTCAGTCGACTTTTAAAAACAAATGTGTTCATTCTTTTCTTCAGTTATTATGAAGCCGACAACCGAACCAAATTTTAGTCCTGGCACTGAAACACATACATGGACTCCCAGGCTGATCCAGGCAGCATCTCGGTGAGCCCAAGTGGTAGTCTGCATATGATACAAGTCACACCTCGCACACAACACTAATACTTCTGACATAATGACTGATTAACCCGTAAGATGCAGTTTAACTTTGGCAGGCGCAAAGACAGCCACGATTGTCAGATTAAAAGAAATGTAATAAATATACTATTTAAAGAAAAATGAAGATCTTAAGTCATCATAATCTTTTGGATAGGGGGGGGAGGGATTACTGGGGCAATGGTTACAAAGTAAGAGTTACCAAATAAGTGAAATGTATACAAAAAAAATTATAGGCCTACCATATGAGCAAATAAGGCAGTGCAACACCTCAGTAAGTCACCCTTATACATTTAAATGCCAAATGAAGATTGTTTCAATGCCTTTGTTGAAAATGCTTCATCCAACATGGAGAAACACAACAAAGGAAAAATTAAATATCTCAACACAGGTAACTTTAAGAGCAATTCAAAAGATCCCAATCGTGTCTAATTCCCAACCCAGATAGGCCAATCACATACCTGGGCTGACCAAAGCTCTGCTAAGACCAACCTCTATCAGCCTCTCCCACCTTGCAGCATGACCGGGTGAAGCAACAGCACCACCACCACCTCCACAACTTGAGATTCATTGGCATATACAGGTTTAATTTATTACCATATTGCACTACAGGTCATGGTGGATGTGGCACATCCAGTTCAGTTTAGGTTGTAAACAAAAAGGCAGCAACATTAATATATTGGTGGATTACGGTAGAGTTGGCATACAATGATAGTGGCAGTGGGTAGCCACAGTGCCCAAGCAACAGGGCCTGGCAACCTCACAGTGTGGTGGTGGGCACAGGGCCAGGCAACCTCACAGTGTGGTGGTGGGCACAGGGCCAGGCAACCTCACAGTGTGGTGGTGGGCACAGGGCCAGGCAACCTCACAGTGTGGTGGTGGGCACAGGGCCAGGCAACCTCACAGTGTGGTGGTGGGCACAGGGCCAGGCAACCTCATGGTGTGGTGGTGGGCACAGGGCCAGGCAACCTCAGTGTAGTGGTGGGCACAGGATCAGAGAATATCAATGGCCATGTGGTCCTGTCAGACAAGGCATCTGGCTGTGGGTGTCAGGCACTGCATGAAGCCAAGCCAACAGCTGTGACCCAAGGTCAGTTGACACAGCTTCACAGCTTTAACTTTGAGGCTGCTGACCCAATCATGACTTTGGACTACAGAAGATAAAAATTCTTGACCTTTGACCCCCAAGTAGAGATGAAAAGGCCATTCACTCCTAGCATGCTCCAGATGGAGAGAGATCCTTCATAAGAGGCCATTGACCACTTATTCCAGGTGGGCAGGGACCTTCGATCCTTGGTGGATAGACAAGTCTCTGTCCTCTGCCCCTTGACCTAAGGTGGTGAGGGTACCTGAACCCGATGCTGGTGTCACAGCCGATGCCACACCCAGATCTCTGCTGCGTTGACCCAACAAAGAGAGCTCAAGATATCTGCTGCAGTAATATCTGCATGTCTTTAAAAAAAAAAATTATGTAAACAAATTTAATATTTAAAAAATTGAGTGTGTGATTTGTCACACTATTTTCGTTGAAGTTTCCATTGTGCTAAGTATAAAATGAGTATAAAGTCTTTATTTATCCCCAGTCGTTAATACCATAAGGTTTTGATTGCATTAGCAAACCAGGAGGTTGACTGCGGGTGTGGGCGGGGGCAGGCAGGTGGGTGCGAGTTGTCCATGCCACCCACCCCTCCGCCCGCACACGCCCCCCTTTGTGAACAAGGCGAGATCATAGTGAAGTTGTAATATCAACCAAATAATGCGTGGGCACCCCTTCCTCCCCCTGGCTTCCCCAGTGGGCGGAGAGGCCAGCTTTGGCGCCCGGCCGCCCTCATTGTCTTTACCAGGAATAAATATGGGTGATGAAGGGCAGGGCACCGGAGCAGTAGCAGCCCGTGCTCGACGACTAGTGGGTGTGGCGGCAGGCGTTGGTGTCGGGAATGGCGGCGTGGGCGAGTGTCCCGCCTCACACGCCGCGTCCACCCGCTTGCCCATACGCCCGCCACCTCTCACTCTGCACGTGCCCAATACTGCCACAATTGCACTTTGGTCTGGTGATATGTGAGCGGCGCGATCCCCTGCAAGCATGGCTTCGCTGGGGGGCATGGGCCACACCACTGGGCATAAGGGTTAGTGCTTCCTGGTGAGGGCGGGGCTCAGGTCACTGGATTGGTGATCTGGGGCAGCTTGGTGTGATGGCGAGGGTGCATGGTGGAGGCACCACCATCATCTGTGATGGTGGCACGCAGTTTGGTAGCAGAAGTGGCGATGGTGTTGAGCTTGGTGGCTGAAGAAGGCGTACGGGAGGAAGATGAGGAGGAAGGTGTGCGTAGGGTGGAGGCAGGAGAGTCACTCTTCTCAGAGGGAGGTTTAGGCAGTCGCCGCCGGAGCCAGCCGTGGCGGAGGGCCTGGCTGGGAGTCATGCGTGTCGCTGGGTCCCAGTCTAGGCACCGCTGGATGAAGTCCAGGAAGAGTGGGTCATTGCAACCCTTAAGGGCTGTCTGGAGAGACTTAGAGCCTGGAGGCCCCCGTGGCTTGCCCCGCCTAGATTGTCCCCCATGGAGGATCGTGGAGCCATCTGGGAGGGTGCGGGTAACACAGTACCGAGGGTAGCCCTTACTGGTGATGAAGTTCTTTGCCCGCTTGCTCTGCTCTAGTAACTTGGGTGGAGGCATTCCCAGGAGCTCTATGATGCATGCTAGCTGATCCGCCTCATCCTGCCGGTAGATACACTCTTACCATCCTTATCCATAACTACACACAAAAAATCATCATAATTATTACCCTTGTAGTTTTATAATACTGTATATACAAATACTGTACCTAATATGAAATCACTGTATCTATTGTATATCTTAGAATAAAGTGTTTTTATTAAATGACAAAAAAAATACAAATAAATAGGATATGAATAAAATAATAGTGAAAATAAGTGATAATTACTGTACTTAAATTCTAAATTTTGTTAAATTATAGTATACGATATATAATATGAATACTATATAGCTTAACATCATGACATACTAGAATTAGGAGGGGAAGACCTGAGAATGTCAAAATGTCACCAGCAGAGTCCCAAAGAGCTATGTACTCAGACCTATCCTGTTTCTGATTGCATAAATGATCTTCCAGTTGGTACAGACTCATTCCAATCAATGTCTGTTGACAATGATAAAATTAAGAGACGGATTAAAACAGCAGAAGATAGCAAGAGGTTAAAAGATGACCTGGACAAACTGAAGGAATGGTCCAACAAATGGTTGCTGGTAATGTAATGAAAATAGGCATAGGAGGCATGAAGCCAAACAAACCTAATTGGGAAATGAAATCCTTCAAGAATTAGGTAAAGACCTGTGGGTTGATAACACACCAGACCTGTCCCCTGGATGCCACAAAAAAAGGATATCATCTTGGCATATACTAGGTTCGTCATTATAAGAACTGCCTTTAGAAACTTGTATTATATACTACATATGTAAGATGAATCCTGGAGTATGCAGCACCAGCATGGGGTCCATCCATATCCGCTTGATACCTGCTTGATGGGGTTCTGGGAGTTCTTCTACTCCCCAAGCCTGGCCCAAGGCCAGGCTTGACTTGTGAGAGTTTGATCCAGCAGGCTGTTGCTTGGAGCGGCCCGCAGGCCCACATACCCACCACAGCCCGGTTGGTCCGGAACGTCTTTTAGATAACAGTCTAGTTTTCTCTTGAAGATGTCCACGGTTGTTCCCTGCAATATTTCTTATAGTCGCTGGGAGGACGTTGAACAGCCACGGACCTCTGATGTTTATACAGTGTTCTCTGATTGTGCCTATGGCACCTCTATTCAAACACAAGACAAAGTTAAAGTTCAGAAGTATGCCACCAGACTCGTTCCGGAGCCGAGAAGTAGAGTTACAAGGAAAGGCTTCTGGAATTGAACCTCACACCATAGGAAGAAAA